CCAGGCTGGTCTCAAACTTGCAATAATTCTCTTGCCTCAGCCTCCCGAGTGCCGGGGTTACAGGCGTGCACCACCACGCCCAGCTGCTTTCATTAATAAACAAAGTTATTCTAAAAGTTAAGACTAATAAATTATTTACTTGGGATGTGTTCCAAGGAAGATGATTGCTAGGTTAAAAGATAAGAACAGTTTTAGAATTCCTGACTCATAGTGCCAGTGCTTGTTCAAAAGTGCTGATACCAGGCGCTGGGGATTTAGCTCAGCGGCAAAAGCGCCTGCCTGGCAAGCGCAAGGTCGTGAGTTCGGTTCCCGGTACCGGAGAAAAACCCAAAAGTGCTGATACCTGTTTCCAGTGGCACCGGCAATAAATAAATGTCCGTGTTTTCCTGCCATGCCATTGGCTTTTTTCCTCTTCTTATCTTTATCTTATTCACTGATAAAACTAGATGTTAACTAGGGAACACTATATAAGCTTGTGGACCCTGAAAGCATTAGTGTCACTGCTATGCGCCTAGTCATTATCTACCTATGGGTTGAAACATTGCTATTGACTAATGAACATTTCTTGATTTCACTCTCTCATGACTTTGGTCCTAAGCAACCCTTAAAGAATGAATGGGGTTACAAGCCCTTGTCTTTTCTTCCCTAAAGGAGCCCAAATTCTCAGGGGAAGAGAATTCCCAGTCCTAGTGCCAGGCAGTAGTTTAACACTTCTTCTTAATGGTAAAACCCTTTTTCTTATATGAACCTTCAGGAAATGCTGAACCAGAGCCAGAAAAAGCTGCTCTATGACATCAGCTCTGGGGCCAGAAGCCCACCTATTCAGACTTTGCCCCCAGAGGCACCTCCTGTGGACATTTTGACAACTACTGAAGGAGTGATGGTATGAGAGATATGCTTGGAGGAATATAAAATCTCACAGTAAGAACTCAGCTGAGGATGTGCAACTCTACCACAGAAAGAGGCTAGAGAGCCAGGCCCAGGGATGCTGCTGGGAAGACGAGTCAGTGAGTGTGGTTTGGCTGAGGCGGGTGGGGGAGGAGCGCTGCTGTAGTGAGCTAAATTAATGGAGAACAAGTCAGTGGCTCACGGCTCAGAAATCAGGAGCGAGGCACAGTTACTTTTATCATATGTTTGCAACCAATTAGAAGTGTGAGGTTCTATGTGTGAATAAACTCAACCCTTATGTATCAACATGGGAGATCTTGAAGGAATCTCACATATTAACAAAAACCATCCTGTGTGATAGCAAGTGTTGGAACTGCTCTAGGGAGAGGCACCCTTAGACATTCAGTGGTGGGAATGTAAATGAGCTGAGCTACTTTGGAGGGCAATTAGGCAGACTCTATTACAACTTGGAGTATATATCTGAGCACTGCTGATTCCATGCTTAAAATTTACTCTGGGCACTCGTCTTCGAACTATTTTGACAAGGACTCACAGTACGAGATACACTTCCCAGCCCAATCCAGTACACATATCCATATGGAAATGAAGCAAAACTCTCATGAACCAATAGTTGCTTTACTAGATGAAATAGACTAGAATATTTTATAGTTTTCTCCATTCTATTTCTTCCTTGCAGTCCTTTAAATTGATTTTTTTTTTTTTGACTCATGGATATATTCTTGTTACAGTTTATATCTAGATGTCCCCTGAGAGCCTCATCACTCCTAGACAGGGTTTGTGAAAGGTGACTGGATTAGGAAGGCAATATCACTGACTTGCTGCCTAGGAGGTGGGGCCTAGTTGGAAAAGGTGGGTCACTACCGGCGTGACCCAGAAGGGTCTGTTTCCCTTCCAGATTCTCTCTGCTGCCTGTCTGCCATGCTGTGAGCAGCTCCCTTCCGCCATGCCCCTCTGCCATGCTGCCCTCCCTTGGAGCCAGCCCACTAGCTAAAATAAACCTTTCCTTCCTAAATTGTGGCTATAGAGTATTTTGGCACAGCAATGAGGAAAGTAACTAATTCAATTCCAATCCACAGTTTGAAAATCACCATATCTAGAAAATACTTTCACATGTTTAAGTAAGTGAACAAGTTTGCTTGTTGTAGAATTGCTTATAATAGTGAAATTAAAAATACCTAAATGGCCTCAATAAGGTAATGGTTAAGGAAAATGTAAATTTACACAATAGAGTACGCTGTATTCAAGTAGCAGGAATAAATTCAATTCCTGTGTTATTAACATGACTAGCTCTCAAAAATACTTGGTTAACAAAAAATTTACAAAGTATAATGTATTTATGCTAAATCTCATATCCATACACATGCATGAAAATTCTAAGGTGCACAGATATGTTTTTAAAAAAGTTTGGAATAAAGAAACACAAATAGCCAACAAGTACATGAAAAATGCTCAAAACCACGAGCCCTCAGAGAAGTGCAAATCAAAACTATAATGAGATATCATCTCATCCCAGTTAAAATGGCTATAATCAAAACAAATGAAAGAAACTCCTAAATACTGTCGATGGAAATATAAACTAATATAACCACTATGGAGAACAGAATGAAGGTTCGTCAAACACCTAAAAACAGAAATATTGCATGATCCAGCTATCTCACTTCTGGTTACACATCTAAAAGAAATGAAATTGCATACCAGAGAGATACTTGCAGACCCATGTTGACTATAGCACTATTCACAAGAGCAAAGATATGGAATCTACCTAGATGCCTATCAACAATGAATGGCTAAAGAAATGTGGCGTGTATATACATATATACACACACAATGGAGTATTATTCTGTCATAAGAAGAATTAAATCCTGCCATTTGTAGCAAAATAGATGGAAATGAGGACATTGTGTAAAATAAGCCAGACAGAAAGACAAGTACAGCTTGTTCTCTCCTATATGTGAAAAAATTTAAAAGTTGACCTGAAAGTAAAATAGTGATTACTAGGGATTGGGAAGCGTTGCAGGGGTGGGGTGTGGGGTTGGGAATTTAATCAATGCACACTGTACGCATGTACAGAAATATCACACTGAACTTAATACATGTAAATAAAATAAAGAATATTAAAATTTAGAAAAGGGGGCTGGGAAGAAAAGCATAGGATTAGGGTGGTAACTGAAGTAAATTTTAGCTTCAACTCTAACGATTCAGTCTTTTTTAAAAGCATTTGTCTATTGTTTGTGGAACTAAAAATAAAAGCAAATAATGCATAAATGGAATGAATGTACAAAGGAATATATCATGTCTACAGGAAGGTTTGAAGGGATAGATTAAAGAATGCGAGAATTCATGTGGGAATGCTTGACTGCAAGTTAGGGTGTGCAGAAGGATCATGAATGAATCTAAGCATCTGCAAAAACACAGTCATGTTAAAAAAACAAACTCTAGCATGAACAAACTCATCACAAATACAATAGCATGCATCTGCGTGTAAGAAGACGGTAAATCTATACATGAATACAATAACGTGTAGATGGAAAAATGGATGAATGGATATACAAAGGAATGCAGCGATGCCAAAATGCTAATTTGCATATTTCAATACATGAATGCATAAACTTATGAATTAAGGTTGCTATGCATAAAATGACTCTTTTAGATGTATAACCAGAAGAGGGGAGTAGCAGAGGAGAAGAAGGGCATGTTAATTTTACTTGGCACTGGCAACAACTGAGGGTGATCTGAAACACTGAAACTCCATTATCTGTGTGCTACACACCCAGGAAAACTGAGGGAATGTTCCTCCTCGGGAAGAAGGATTTCCATCAGCCTTCTCCCAGGGGCCCCATCCCTCAAGGGAAGGGGCGTTCTTATGGTGGCCAGAGGTGTTAGTGCAAGCACACGGCATTTGGAGGGAGGCAAGGAGGAGGCAGGAGAGGGGCCTGGAGATGGGGAGAATAATACTTCAAGAGGCTCTGCGCCTGCCTGCGCTGTGGCCTGGCAGAGGCCCTGGGAGAGTGGCTGAGAGGACAGTGGGCAGGCCATGGTGCTCTCATAAGCAGCAGGGACAGCTTGGTGGCAATCAGGCACTAGATTCCTGGAAAGAGTGTGTCTGCCATTTATGTCACCAAAGCCTAGGCTTCTCAGCTACCCCTCACACTTTCAACTGATCAGAACCTGGGTGATCTTCAAAAAAAGACTTTAGTCCCTAGACAGCCACTTACGTGAATAATAATAAGTGAAGCCACATGTCTCGCAGCCTGTTTCCAGGAAAGCCCAGGAGCCTAGAAACCACCATCTACAGTTGACCTTAGGTCAGCAGCAGCTTTCCCATTACAACTAGAGTTCACAGGCCAAGGGTGCCAACAGATAATCCTTCTTTATCTCCTGAAATCACTATTTACACTGATTCAGAAGCAAGGGGGCAAAATCATTTTTGAGCAAGTAGGAGGTCAATTTTCCTCAATTGCAGAACAACCATTGACTCTCCTTATCTGTATCTTAATTTCCTTTTCCTGATTTGAGAGATGGTTAAAAAAAAAAATCTGTACCTTGCGATGCTTATGGACGTAATTATGAATGTATTTAATACCACCAAACTGTTCATTCAAAAAAGGTTAAGAGGGTCAATTTTATGTTATGGATATATTATACTACAATAAAACCTGGAGAAAAAAGAGCAAATGCAGAACACATGCCCATGTGAGTTTCCTTGAGTAGCCATTCACTCACTCACCATCCATCTGCTATAATTCTGAAATAGGTGGTCTTGGCCCCAGCCTGGCAGAGACGGACAAGACAGGTGTAGTTCATTCTCCCCGACCCCAGCATCTGTGACCCCTCAGTCTCCGACCTATGCTTTACCTTGTGCGCAGAGGGACAGAGGTAACACAGGCTTGTATTACTGAAGAACACATTGATGAGTTTCCAGTCATGTTGAAAATCAAGTTGCTACAAAGAAATCACATGAAAAAGAAATAGTAGTAAGACTTTAAGCCAAGAGAACATCTTTCTTTCCACTCCTTTCAGTCTCATACACCCACTCCCATCATAACTATATTTATGGTTTTTTAATCAGAAAAAGTAAATGGTGGGAGTCTAAAGTAGTATAACTCTTAGAAGGCAATTTGGCAAAATATAAAATACTCTGAAGGGCATACCTTTGAATCCAATAGTTCTATTTCCCAAAATTTATTTTAAGGAAAAAAGGATACATAAAATATTTAGCTATAATGACGCCTTGTTCATAAGAACGAAAAGCTAGAAACAACATGTCTAAAATAGGCAATTACTGTGTAAATTATGGCACATTCATAAGGTGAAACATTATGTGATTACTAAAATCGTGCTGGAAAATGTAATTATTGTCATTGGAAATAGTATATTGAGAAAAATAGGCTATAAAAAGTATCTACATCAAGTAACATCCCTGTTTTATAAAGTATATACTATTTATATACTGAGCAAAAACACAGGAAGGACTATGTACCAAGTTATTAACAATAATTATCACTGGCTATTATTTTTAAAGATGATTCTTAATTTTTTTTGTTTATCTGTATTTTCTAATTTTTCTGTAATGAGTATGTGTTCCTTGTATAAGGAAAAACAAACTCTTATCTGTTCTCCTGAGGCAGCACCTTGTGGTCAAGGAACACTGCACTATGAATCAAGCACTTTAGATTTTAGCTCTATCTAGCAGTGTGATATCGGACCAGTCACATGACTTCTTGGAACTTTAGTTTCCTCATCTGTAATATTTTGGGGTTTGATTCAGGACCTCCCAGCTATTTGCAGAACAACTATAATCTATTATCATAGAAATTCTGGAATTCTCCTGTTGGGGGAAACCAAGCCTTCATGGCACAGCTTTCACATGGGCTGCTGTCCCTGTGTAGCTTGGAATGACCTCCACTTTAATTCCTGACCCTTTGATGTCCGCATGCCTGACTGAGACAGCAGCTTCCCTTGGGTCCAAAGCTGCAGGCACGGTGGTCAATTAGAACCAGCTTGGTGCAAGGCCTGCCTTGATTTGACACTTGCCCATAGAGGCAGCACAAAGGACTGGGAAATGCTTATCACCAACTTATGTAAGTAATTGGGCAAAGAGCATATGTCGGGAGAGTGGATGATAAGGTGTCCAGCATAGTATATGTTATGGAGGCCTCTATCCCAAGAGCTAAAATTAATATGGTAATGTCAGCAATCCCCACCTCAATGACAATGACAGCTACAGAATTTTACTGAGCCCTGAGTCTGCACCGGGCATGTTCAATAACTCATTTAATCTTCCATAAACCTTATGCAGCAAGCTCTTTGGTTACATCCATAAGTAGGGAAACTAAGTCTTAGAAGGTTAAGTGCCTGACCCAGCATCACACAGAATGGTGGGAAATACAGCCAGTGTGAAACCAGCCTCTCTCTGGAACACAACCACTGCCCTATGTGGGAAGTCATTTGCCCCATCTGCCAAATTTCAGCAGTAGCACAAGCAAACCATTCTGAACAGAAGAGTTGGTTAGTCTTTTCTTCTAGTGATCTTCAGATAGCCACAGCGGAAAGGATGCTTTCGAGGAGCCCAGCCCATGCTAGGTGTCGTGTTCATGGCAAGATGATGCCAGGACCATCACCACTCTGTGTGTCTGGTCTGACTGCCCTGCAGCAGCCGTGGGCAGCCAACCATGCCGGAGTTCCATGGACTCTTACCGAATTCTCCTTCAAGCTTCTCACCAGTTCTTCAGCCTGAATCCATAAGTCTCTGTGCAGGGGGAGGGGAGCAGAAAGAAAAATCAGGAAAACAAAATTGTCCACAGTCTGGAAGCTCACCTCTTACCCCAGCTGAGGTGCTAGTATCTGAGCCTGATTTTTAAAACAACACAGGGGAGGCATTTCAGCTTTGACTTAATAACTCATTTAATCTTCCATAAACCTTAGGCAGCAAGCTCTTTTATTATCCCCCTCTTCTTTGATGCCTCCTTGACTTTGCCAACCCCTGAAATCCTACCACCTGTTTGCCCAAGACCAGGGGAAACACACAACCCTATAGACAGACAGAAAGGGAGCTTACTCAACACCAAAGTGGGGAGCAGCGCTCTTCCCAGGAGGGCACGTGGACGTCAGAACAGAAGGATTGAAGTGGCTGATGATGTCTGAAAGGACTAAAGAGAGAGCTGGTCTGAGCCTTGGTCTTAACACCTGGCAGTCACCTCTAAAGACTGCTTCTCTCTAGGAAGAGGTGTCAAGGTTACTGCCCCTTTTCAAAGCACGGCCTTTGCACCCTGCCCTGGGGTTGAGGTCACCCCTGGCCCTGGAAGTGTTTGGAGCCAAGACTGAGCACCTGTGTGGTGGAGGCCAGGCCCAGTGCTAAATGTTTCCCTGTGTTCCATCATTTAATCCTTAGTAAAAATAAAAGAAAAACTCAAGGCAACACAATTTCCAGTTTAGTGAAGGGGAAAACTAAGGCAGAGAAACCCAGCAAGCTGCCCAGGATCACCAGCTACTGGAGCTTGCTAGGATTTGAACCACAGCGCTTGGATGGCAAGGCTTTTAACTGTCTGGGCTGCCCTCCAGTTCCCATCCTTCCTCCAGAGAGTGACAACGGGGTGGGAAAACTCTGGGGAACACACAGAGAACACGTCCCAGAGCTGACAGCCAGAGCACTGCTAAAAATAGTGCTGTCAGGAGCAGTCGTGTCATACTCCCTAGAGAGGAGAGAGGAGAGAGGGAGAGTGTCACGGAGAGGAGGTGCCTCCACCTACCGGCTCTCTGGCTCTCCCGGTCTCCCTCTCCTTTTGTCCCCATCCAGGAGCGCCTAGGGCTTTACAGTAGCAGCTCCCAGTGTGGGCTGGGGAGGGCCTCCCTGCAAGAGGAGCTGACTCTGTGGGAAACCAGCAGGGAGGGGTGTGGGAGAGCCGGGCTGGAAGTCAGGAGACCGGTTGCTTGGCTTTGTGACTTTGGGCAGCCACCTAACTCATGTGGGATATGGAGGTCACCCTTTCCTTCACCCAGATTAACAGCTTCATTTTCGCTATGCCCTGCCCCAACAGCTTGCAGAAGGAGCCCATGCCACACAGACTCTGAGCCAAATTGAAGATCACAGGGACAGTGTATGTGCGTGCATGAGGAACACTTCCCCGCTCACATGAAGATAGTCTGTATGGACCAGTGTCACAACACAAATATCTAGCGATAAGTCTTTGAAAGAGAATTGCCTTCTAACCCGCAGTACTGAAAATAAAAAGCAATCAAAATTTAGTAGAGAGTGAGGGAGGGGGAAAGTGGAGACAAAATGAGAAATCAGCTTCAACAGCAGCTGCATCTGTGGTTTTAAGGGCTAACTATACCTCATCTTCCCAGACATCCCCAAATACACCACTTCAGTTCCTTCAGTTCTCTCGCCCTGCCCTTCAAAGGTAAACAAGGCTAGGCCTAGGCACAGCTGTGACAGCCTCCGCGTCAGTGGGCCTCTTCTTTTGGAACCCTAGACTCTTCCCCAGGGGACCTGCCTACCTCTGTGGCCACCAAAATTCCCTCACCTGTCTATCAGGTCCCAGGTGAGCTGAGCAGCAAGCCCCACACCTCCCGCTGGATCACCAGTTCTGAAGGAGGCCCAGTATCCCATCCATCCCGTCCTTCCCTGGAGCCTGAGGCTCCCAGGCCCTTTAATGTAAATTGCTGGCTGGCTTCCAGGGCACCAGCTACCTCCTGTATCCCTTCCTCCACCAGCATTGGCTCAGCAGAGCATTCGGATCCCGGATCCCAGCTTCTCTCTTTGATCCTCCAAGAAAAGGTGGCTTCGCTTGTTCATGATTCAGGAGTAGCAGGCGCTAACTTCCCACCAGGCTAACTTGGCTAATGTTAAGGAACTTGGGGGTTTTAGGATTACTTGATATTGTCAAAAGGGACCTCTGATATTAGCAAATTTAAAAAGCCCAGGATACAGAGAGTATAATTATACTTAAATACTGGAAGACTAAAACACAAACCTAGCAAGCTGCCCAGGATCACCAGGGCATAATTACCTCTAAATAGTGAGACTACAGTTAGCTTTTGTTTCCTTCATTTCATTTTCCTGAACACAAGTGCCTCTAAGGAGCCGGGAACATGGCCTTGTATTTATATCACAAACGAGGGATATAGGAAATGAAACAGACTGAAAATTAGGTCGAGACCCTCCCCTTGGACAGGAGGAACAAACCAGGACCTTTTCCCAGCTGAACTGACCCAAAGCCAGCCCTGGGCTCCTGGGGGAGCAGGAATTGCAGCCACCCTGGCCTAGCCTGTCCCCAGCACCCTCTTCTACATCCTTCAGTCTTAATGCTTCCTGGCTTCTCCTTGTCCAGAGACCTTTGGACACATTTCTCGTGCCTTCCGTTCAGGGTGTGTGACTTTCCATGGCCTAGGTCCCATATCTGTCCTCTCAAAATGCCTTCCCTTTGCCCCAGGCCCTGGTGACAAAGTAGGAGGTACAGTCTCTCTTCTTTATTAGGGAAGTTGCTGCTATGTTGGGAGGGATGAGGACAATCTAGAATCTAACCATGAAAGCCAGGACTCACCTGCCATCACTCCCGTGCACTGCTGTGGTTCTTTCTCAGTCCTGCAAGCAGAGGGGAGCCTGTGAGTGTCAGACTGCCCTTGTCACCGGCCAGCACCCTTTCCTGGTGGGACTCTCACCCTCCTCCCTGGCATGACCCAAAGGCCGAAGAGGGTGATGACCCCAGTGTAAAGTGACTCAGTCCAAACTCTGCAGGATTCCACCCTTTCCCCTTTCCCTCTCCCCTATCTGGTTCCTACAGTGGAGCCACTGGGATGCACAGGCCCTGAGAGTCTGGGCTGGGCAGTCAGAGGCTGGTTCTCGTCCCTGCCCAGTCCCCTGACCCTAAGGAGCCTGGAGCAGGGCCTTAACTCTCTGGCCCTTGATTTCCCCCACCAATCAAGTAACATAGTTGATCAGAGGTGCCTCAGGCTCCTTCCTGCTCGCTCTGTCCCAGGAGAGGTACCTTTCGCTCGTGTCCAGGTTGACCACCCCAGGGTCTGGAGGCTGGAAAAGACACTCGGTGTTAGCAAGCCATCCAGGGGAGGCAGCAGAGCGTGTTCACTTTGCTGGAAGGACACACAGCCGCCGCCCCAGCAGCGTCTCTGCCAGCCCTCCGAGCAGAGTATTCTCCTCAGAGCTCTGATTTGAATGCATCATAAAGTCATATTAGCATTCTGCAGAGAATCAGAGACTGCTTTGTGGTGACCACTCCCCCTCATAATCTGAAGCTGACTTTGTGTATTGCCATCTCCCTCAGCTAGAACATAAGTGCCTCAAGGGTGGAGACTTTCACATTCTGAACTTGACTATATTTCTTAGACCTAGAACAGGTTGTCAGCACACGTGAATATCTGTTGAAAAAGTATTTTCTTTTTTTCTTTTTTTTTTTAATTTTAAAGAAAGCAGTAAATGAGAAACAATGAACAAAATAAGTTTCTGGTTTCACCCTTGGGTAACACAGACACTCCCTGTTGGAGAAGTTCTACTCGAAGGGCCACAGGTGAACCATGATAACCCCACCCCCTCCCGGGGGGTGGGGGCAGTTCAGTCCATTTGCAAGTTCTTAGGGATACTTAGAATTGTGTTTGAGACAGAAAGGGTTTAGTGAATATTAGCTATTGTTAGCAGTATTATTTTCAGTTTCTTTTTTGTTTTGGTTTTTTTCCGGTACCAGGAATTGAACTCATGACCTTGCGCCTGCCAGGCAGGCCCTGTGCCACTGAGCTAAATCTCCAGCCCCTTATTTTCAGTTTCTGACACACAGTCTCTCAAAATTCCTAGAAGGCAGGATGTTAGGTGTGGTGGTAAGAGTGAGACCTTTTCTGTCTACACCCCACCTACTGCAGAACTTCAAAGAGCACAGCAGCTCTCCTACCCACCCTCTCAAGTGAGGGCTGGGTCATAGGACTGGTCCTGTAGGACTGATTACAGCTCTGGAGCTCTCCAGGGAGGGCAGGCTGACCATGAAATTCCTCTCCCAGGGCACGAGGTTCTTTGATCTTCAGTAAGAGGGACTTAGGAAGGTCACTATCTGAGGGAAGGATGACAAATTAAACCAAAACTACACTAAGATGAAAATTGAGGATTGTAAGCACAGACAGGTTAGGTAGAGAGGGGAGAAGACCTTGTAGACTCTAGCAAGACAGCCAACCTGTGTCCAACCAGAGGGGTGCTGTCCCCAAGCCTGGGGCTGTAGCAGCCAGAGGTATGGGGATCCCTGACTGCCAGATCTCACTTTTCAAGAAAAACTGGAAACACAGGCATTTATTTTAAATATCCCAATTCCCGTGCTGGCAGCTGATTCAATTAGAGACACCATGTGAGCCAGAAATGTTGGTGCACCCCTGTCACCCCAAGCACTCTGGGAGGCTGAAGCAGGAGGATCATGAGCTCAAGCCCAGCCTGGGAAATTTAGTGAGTTGGCAAGACCTATCTCAAAAAGTAAAATGGACTGGGGATCTAGCTCAGTGCAAAGGCCCTGAGTTCAATCCCCTGTACTACAAAAAAAAAAAAAAAAGACACTGTTTTAAGACCACCAATTTGCTTCCTCAGATAATTAGTTGGTGGACAGCAGAGCTTTTCCCCAAAGAAAAGGTAGTAGTGAAGAAAGTGGGGAGAAGAAGGATGGGACAAAGTACAAGAGGGAAAGGGACAGGAGCAGGAATGGGGCGAGGGTGCAGTGGAAAGCGCCGGAAAAGGATGGCTGGACAAACCCTGCCAACACCCACCTCCCCCCACTTCCCTCCGCCCTGCCTGGCAGCCATCGTCTCTCCTCTGTCCTCATTCAGTGAATGCCTGCCTTGCAGCATCAGGGACACAGAGCCAAGTAACACACAGGCTCTAGGGAATTTGATAGAGTGGATTGTAATCTCTCATTTCCTAGCATGGAAGCGTCTATGAGACTCAAGGAAAACAATGCACAGATAGGATATTGCAGTGTGATCCTATTTAGGTTTCATATGTCACCTATGTCCCTATGTATTGCTATATACTGGAGTGGGGGGGTAAGGAAGAGAACTAAGATGTGACTGGGTCCTTTGTTATTTGAAAATAAATTTTATGAATACTTCCCTGTCTAATTTTTAAAGTTCTTTAAGAAAAAAAGGGGAGCCTATAGCAATTAAAATAGTGGTGGTTATTGTCCCAAATGAGTGATGCCCCATGGTTATACAGAACTCCAGGAATGCAAAGCAGAAGCGTCAAGCGTTACAGACTTATTCTTTTTAAATTTACTGTATTCCATTACTTTTTCCTGATTGTTCTTTTAAGCATGCAAACGCTATAGGTTCACATGCATCTCTCAGGACAGCCAGGAAGAAGGCCCCCAGGAGCTGTGCTTTCAGGTTTGATCCTGAAGGTCAAGCTGCCCAGCAGTGGACAGATAATGACGCTGGGCTGGAGAGCGCCCTGACTGAGCTTCATCCCACTGCAGCCCCCAGGCTCACCCAGGGCCAAGGGGAGTGAGTGACAGTCTGGAGCTGTCAGGCCTGAATCATTCACGAGTAGGCACACTCTCTCCAAGCTGGTTTGGAAGGGTGGAACACCCTGAGGGGTTTGACTTTATAAATCTGTCTAGGTGGAGATTCCCCCGCCCAAGGCCTGCCCAAGGTAGAAAAATCCAAGTCTTCCATTAAGCAGGTCACATCCTCAGGCCCCAGAATGTCAGTGTCATATGAGGAGATACCCAGGCTCAGCAAAGCCACCCTGCTACCCAGGACATGTGAACCCTTTCCTCATCAACCTCCCTCTCCCCTTCTCCTTGTTCAGAGGTGAGCCTGGCCCTCCCCCATCAACACACAGCTGGTCGCATAGGTAGAGAAAAAACAGAGCATGGATGGGGAAGCTCTGGCTGCCAGACGCCACCTGCCCAAGGCCATCTCCTAACATGAAGTCCCCACCTTCACACGCTGGTACCTTGTCACCCTTCTCCCTGCTACACCCACATCCCCACTTCACGCTGGCCACAGTTGCTCAATGAGCACAGGAGGTTCTGGGTCTAAGCAGATTCACCCAGTGCTCAAGCAGAGGCGGTATTTGTAAATATGGCGGAGCTGCCCCTAGCAGGACTGAGCATCCCAGGCAAGTTCCAGAGAGGTTAATGATTTGAGAGGAGAAGGTGGGACAGGCCCAGGGCATCTGGGGCGTTGGATCAGCTGGCACTACCGTGATGTCCGGGTTGAGGCCAGGCTAGGGGGAAGAGGCTGTAGTTGCAGGGAGTGCAAACTGCAGCAAGTACAGGGGACAGATTCCAGGAAGGAAATGAGGGGTAGACACAGGGGAAGGGGGAGAGTGTCAGGTGTGGGAGGCACAGGGCAGCTGGGGCAGAGCTGAGGCCTGGTGAGAAAGCATTCCATCCTGCCGAGGTCACTGGGACTTCAAAGAGCAACAGACTGTCAAATTTTGCAAGACCAGGGCTGGTGGGATGTGGGCACCGAGGACTGGTGGGGGTGCTGACATTCTCCTCTGCTCCCCACCTCTTCTGGTGGATCACCCTTTTCTTTCCTCTTTTTCCATCTCTTTCTTTCTCTTTCCCTGGACTATATAAAATACACCACTTAGAATTTATAAACAATGCTCAATGTCCCTAATCATTAGAGAAATGCAAATAAAAATCACAATAAGTCACCTCATAACTATTAGGATGGCTACTATTTAAAACAACAAACGAAAACCAGAAAATAAGTGTTGCTGAGAATACAGAGAAATTATAACCCTGTATATTTTTGGTTTGAGTATAAAATGGCACAGCCACTAGGAAAAATAATTTCTCATGGAATTACCCTGTCATCTAGTAATTCCACTTCTAGGTGTATGATTTTTAAAAAATTGAAAGCAGGGTCTTGAGATATCTGTGTGCACGTGTTCAAAGCAGCGTTAGTTACAATAGCTAAAAAAGGTGGAAGCAACCTTAATGCCCATCGATGGTTGAATGGGTAAATAAAATGTGATGCTGCCATACAGTGAAATATTATTCTACCTTAAAAAAGAAGAATCTGGCATCTGTGGCATTATGGTGGGTGAAGAAAACCAGTCACAAGAAGACAAATACTGTTGGATTTCACTTGAAGCACCCGCTGTAGTCAACCCATAGAAAAGAAAGTGGAACAGTGGTTGCCAGAGGCCAGAAAAGCAAAGAGTTGCTGTTGAAGGGGTGAAGTTTCATCTTCCCTCTCTGTGGGTTGAATGTGTTGTGGGCGCTGTGAGCACAAGCTTGCTCACTCACATGGCTTCCCTATATCTGTAATGTAGTCACAGTGGCCATGCAAGCCATTTGCCCCTATTACAGGCTAGGCTTGCCTAATACCTGGATGCCAAAAATGCTGTACTTGAGCTGGTCTTTCCTGGTTTTAATCCATGTTAAGAGGCTGACTATAACTTTAAACACAGTCAGTTTGCAAGACAAAAAATAGTTCCAGAGGTTGTTTGCACAACAATGAGAATATACTTTGTATTCCTGAACCACCTTACAAATCATTAAAATGGTAAATTTTATGTATGCATATTTAGCACAAGTATAAATAAATTTTTTTTTTTTTTTTGGTTTTGGTTTTTCTCCAGTACCGGGAACCAAACTCACGACCTTGCACTTGCCAGGCAGGCGCTTTGCCGCTGAGCTAAATCCCCAGCCCCTAAATAAATTTTTAATGTCAAGATTTATGTATTTTTAAACTTACAAAGCAGGTAAAGAATTTTTTATAAATAGGAAAATTTAAAAGATTGTTTTAAAAATTCTGTGCAATCACAATTTATCAATGGATTTAGTTTATTAATGACAAACTCCAAGGGTTTCCCCACCCTGATGCAAAGGTGGGCTTTTATTTTGATTTTAACATAAAAATTCAAAGTGTCTGGATTTTAGGATTTCTTCAACTCATATAAGGCTCTCTCTCCAAATGGAACACACTGCCTGGTCAGCAGGAGCTTAGTCAGTCTTACCAATACCAAACTCAGGTCCTTCCCCAAGCTACTTTAAATACTCACAGTTTCCACGGTGCCAATGGCTGCTATGAGTTTGATGTCAGCAGGTGTCAGAGAGTGCACTGTGAACACAAGAACCCACGCAGCAAGGTCAGATCTGTATCCCCATGATGTAGGCTGAGGGTGTTGGTGGGTGTGTGCAGCAGACTCACATCCTATAGCACTTGCATAGCTGCCAGGTCAAATCCGTTGGTGTGGGAATGAGAAGCTGATCATGCAGTCACTGGGGATCCTGGGAACCATACTGGAAAGAGCCTCCCTCTGCTCTGGGGCCATAGTGCTACCTGGACCTGGGCTCTCCAAATACATGTCCTATGGAAGGTCATGCATGGCCCCCATTTTCCCCACTCACCTGGCCCTCTGTCTGCTTCTTCTTTCCCCCTACCCCATGACTCTGCCTTTCTGGATCATCATTAGTAAGTAAGAAGGTTACACATTAAAATTAAAGCCACATGGTTACCCTAAGTTTAGCTTGAAGACTGTGAGGGAATGACACTCAAAGCCTGTAAACACGCAAAAACATCCCATGAAAGATGTAAGAAAATTGTATTTATGAAAGTCTCCCTGACTTGAATGAGCAGAATTTTTAGCAATTAAGCCTCCCTAGAAAGCACTGACCAAACTTCTTAATCATGTCATGAGGGCATTTAAATATAAACCTGATAGAGATGCCATTTCCTAAGAAGCTTATTTCTCAGCCTAAAGTCTTATATAACAAAAGAGTAAGAACAGTATGCTAACTGATCAAGTCAGTACAATGCAAACATAAATAAAGTCATAAACATAGTCAGCCTCTTAACATGGATTAAAGCCAGGAAAGACCAGCTGAAGAACAGCATTTATGGCATCCAGGTGTTAGGCAAGCTTAGCCCGTAATAGGGGCAAATGGCTTGCATGGCCACTGTGACTGTATTACAGAAATAGGGAAGCCATGTGAGTGATCAAGCTTGTGCTCACAGCGCCCACAGCACATTCAACCCGCAGGGATGCAAAGCCTTCGAGGTTGCCCCACCCAAGAAAACCACCATGGTGCCATGTTGGTTTTACTCCTGACCAGGTCGCTGAGCTCTATCTCACCATAGAGATGATTGAAGGTGGAAACTGAGGTAGTGGAAGGGGTTGAGGTTGAAGCACAGGGAGAATTGAATAGCTAAAGCATCCAAGAAGAGTAGGGTAGGGGGTCTGTTGGCCACTCCAGAGAGTAGAAGCCGGGCCTTTCTTGTTTATGGCCAGTGGCACATACCTGACTCAGAAGGCACGTTCAGTCCTAACTTCTTTGGGTTGCACAGGAATGGAAAGTTCTTCTCAGTCTGCACCTGAAACAAAACATTAGCTGCCTTGTGTGGAAAGAAGCATCGCAAGCTCTGAACATGTAGTGTGTCAAAATGGCCATGTATTTGTTCTAGGCTCAAATTCTGGAGGCATTAATTTTCCATGATTTCTTCTCCTAACAAGTTCCCTGGTAGGAGGGGACATGGCACTATTGACAATGATTTTAGCAGGTGGCACGTAAGAAAAGTGGGGTGGGGAGAGAGAATAAAAATTAATTCTTAGAATGATAAAAAAGATGGACGGTGATGGCAGGTCCACAACAATGTTAATGTACTTAATTCCATTAAATTCTATACTCAAAAACTTTTTAAAACTTTCATATTACATGTATTTTACGATAATTAATAAAAAAGAGACACAGTAAACTAGACTAAAAAAGTCAATTCCACGCTACATCCATTTGTACTATCTACTTTTCCTCTTTTAGTCTGACTATTTACACAAAGCAGATATAGGAGGCATTATGCTTATTTGTTGCTGAAGACCAGGTAAATTTGAAATAGGAGACTCTTCTGACCCCACGAGATTGGAATGTCATGAGCCCAGATGGACTTCTAATGAGAATTCTGGCAGCTTCTAAGAATAATGTGGAAGGCTTTGGGAAGGAAGATTGTCTCTTCTCTCCCAAAATCAAGAATAGAAGGGGAAATATTCCACCAGGGGAAAATGTGGATAAAGTCGTTCACCACATCTCATGACCACAAAAAGACACACATTAATTCCACTTGAATTACTGAGTAAATGAAGAGATACAGTATATACTCTTATCTCTTATCTCATAGAGGCTCTGGGAAGGCCTCACCCAGTTGCCTTCAGATAATGTACCACATCTGCTTCAAGGTTCAGAGATAAAGGGCCCATTTATAATGCTTTCTGGACACTTCTGGGAGTGGCCTGCTTAGCACAGGGATGATGAGTCCCAAATTCCAGGAGAGAGGGTCATGCTCTGTCAGGAAGCCCCACTGCCCCAAGGAAGTGGCTCATCTTGCCCACTCCCTCAAGGTCTTAAGAAGGGACATGCCAACTTGTGCCAAGACTCAAATTTGCTCCATAGACGGAAACCTAACACCCCTATACTTCTCTCCAAGAAAAGCTCTCACCTCTGGCCATAGCTGGCCTTCCAACAGGTTCTTTCCAGAAGATGTATGGATTTGGGTGATCCCTAAAAAAAAGCAAAAATAGTGTAAGTGTTTTAGCTGGAATTAACTGCTGTGTGGTCTTCATGCCCTCCCACCCAATCCTATCCCTGTACCCAGCTCAGGGCTGATTTTGTGTTAAGGAAAGCTGAAGTCCCATTTCTCCAGCTCTTACAGCTTGGGATATCATGCTTCCATGAATGTGAACTCTTAGGAAAGGAATCCCTAGGTTGAAATGCCAAAGTGTGAGTCAGGAAGGGTCAGCAATAACACATGTCATGCATAAGCATTTGCCACAGATGGCTTTGTGGGTTCCTTAGCAAGGGCAGAAACTACCTATGCACCCCAAAGTAATGTTGGACATAGAGCTGTTTGGGAATCCACCTTAAAACAGGGAAGGCACAGCACATTCCGGAGTACTTTGAAGGTGATATGATTTTAGGAGAAGAGCTAATCACAGGGTTCCAAGCAGCCACAGCTGTACTCAGTATCTAGACAGGGGCTGCATCGGGGGGTCTTGGGAGACCATAGAGATGGGATCCTTGTCCTGGCTTACTTTTGTCTAGCCTTTTAAAGCTTTCTACTTTACCAAAAGCAAACACTTAAGTTTGCTTTTTAAAGTACAATGTACATATGACAAATTGGACTCATTTTAAGCATACAAGTGGGATTTTCCCATAAAATATTTAGTTTATGCAAATAGTGAAATCAGAAGCACTTTGAAAGAAGCAAAATATCACCCACAATGCTGCTATTCTCAGGTTCAAACATGATTTTATTTAGTTTTTCATCCTTGTGACCATGATGGCATTATTTTCACTCCTTTGTAATCAACAGGCATGCAATTCTGTATTCTGCAAGATTCCTTTAAATGTTATTGTGAGCATTTTTCCTTTTGTTACATGAGCTTGATACGTGTCTCAGTAGCTGCATGATTCACTATGATCCTGACACTGGATTCAAACATGATCAAGCAATTCAGATCCCTTCCTACAACTTCTCCACACCTGGTTCTCTCACCAGAGCGTACACTTTTGGTTACAGCCCCCAAATCCATTAAACAATGCCAAAGGGAAGCCTGACTTGGGGGACTAGGCTGGATTTATTTTCCAACCCAGCCTTCTTCTACAGCTTTACTTTGTTACTCTGAAAATAATTCATCTAGAGTTAGATGAGGAGAGGCAGTATATTTCCATTTCCTGCCCACTGTGAGATCACACTCAGATTTCCATGTGGGAGCTTATGCATGCAATGAAAGCTGAAACCTGCATCTCGAACTCAGTGACCCTTTTGAGATTCCCAGAAGAAAGTTTTCTGGGCAGAAGGAGCTCCCTGATGGGAAGGCACAGAGATAGAGGGCAACATGGAGCACTGGAAAGGGCTGGAACACAGGGCTTGTAACTGGAGGGCCGGTTAGACGAGCCTGCATAGACAGACAAGAGCCAGGCTGTGGAGTCCACAATGCTGGTCAGTCCATGAGCAATTGGGAGTCACGCTGGGTCTCTGAAGGGAGGACTTTCAGATTATTTTAAGATGATCATGACTTGGAAGTACTGGGAAAAATGAGTCAGCATGACAGACATTTGAGACTATTTTGGTAAAATGGTAGCCACCACTTACATATGGCATCTATGCATCAGGCAGTCTTCTAAGTACTTGCACAAAATAATTCATTGAATCCTCATGACTTTATGAGATAAATATCATCTTCCCTACTTTACAGATAAGAAAGTGAAGCCCAGAAAGATCGAGTGGCTCTGTAAAGATGACACAGCTAGCAAATGGTGATAGAGGACTGGAAAATGTCTAGCTCCATGGGTCAAGCTAAGCATGAGCCACATGCTCAAGATCTAGACCAGAGCCAGTAAATTTTGCTGTAAGGGCCAGACGGCCAGTATTTTAGGTTTTACAAACCATCTGGTCTCTGTCACAATTCAACTGTACAGTTGCCTTGTGAAACAGCCATAAATAACATGTACACAAGGTAATTTACTTATGGAGATGAGTTTGAATGTCATATAATTTTCAGGTTTCATAAAATACTTTACTTTTTCTTTTTATAACCATTTAAAACACAGAAACCTTTGTAGTTCAACAAACTGATTGTAAAGTTTCTACAGAGAGCCAAAAGATTCCCAGAATGCCCAACACAGCCTGGGAAGAGAACAACTAAGTCGGAAGACTGACATCACCTGATTTTAGACTTACCATGAAGCTACAGTGATCAACACAGTATGGTCTTGGAAAGAGAACAGATAAATGGAACCCACCTAACTATAGTCAACCAATCTTTGACAAAGAAGTGAAGGCAATACAGCGGAGAAAAGAGTCTTTTTTAACAAATGGTGCTGGAATGACTGGACGTGGACATGCAAAAAAATTTAACAATATAAAAATAATTGTTAGCTCACAGCTCATACAAAATCAGGCAGCAGGCTGGGTCTGGCTCAGGGCCCACAGTTTGCCAACCAGTGTGTACAAAAAGAGATCATCCAGGTGAAATGGGAAGAGGGCATCTCTGGCTATTAGCAATAGCCCTTGCATGGTGAGGTGGTGCCACTGACCCGGTAAAAATACTGAGTCCAAAGGAGAGGAAGAACCCAAACAGACAGAGCATAGTGAGGCATAAATAGGTATTATATTTAAACACAGCAGGAAAAACTAGAAAAGAGAAGTGGAGATGGGTTTATGAGAACTTCACTATGTGCGAGGCATATAGAGAAGAACTCCACTATGTCAAGGAGGGGTGGCGTGTCCATGCAACCCCCAAATCAGCTCTAGACCAATAGAGACAAGTAGGCCCTTGGTAGAAGAGCAGCAGCTGCCATAGAAGAATGGGCTGCCCAAGGACTGGTATGCAACTCAGCAATACAGCTTTTGCCTGACATGTATAAAGGCCTGGGTTCAGTCCCGAGAATAGCCCAAGAAGAGGTTGGGGGTCATGGTGGACATGTAGCATCACACGAGGCAGAAGTTAACAGCCTGGCTACCCTCGGTTGGGTCAACCTCTCCATGCCTCAGATCCCTCACAACAGGGTGAGGTTGGTAATACCTGGCTCCTATAATTGTTATTAAACATGGTTAAATGCATGCAAACACAGAGCATGCTGGCTCACATGATAAGGATATAGTAATTGGTAGTTAAAGTTGTTATAGCTTCAACATCAGAGAAAAGGTTGACACTGATAATTGTTAGGATCCTTTCAGCCTCAGTGTTCTGGGATTTCCCCATAAATGAAACACTCAGGAGTCCACATTTTCAGCTTGATTTGTGAGTCATGCATGATAACTGTTCTGGAGAGTCAGAGTGCCTGGAAGCTCAGCATTAAGTGTCCACACCTGACAACGCAGAAGGAACTGTAGGGCCCTGTAGTTCCCTCCCACTGACTTGCAGAGGGACTGGGGTCCCCTCCCCACTTTTTGCTTCCTACCAGGCACATGGGAAGGAAATTCGTGTCTATTTCCACAGTACCCCAAGGCATTACAGAAGAAATTATCAAAGCACTTGTGGCACCACTGAACCCAAATCACACGTTCCCAGAGGAACTTGTCAAGCTCATAGGTCTCTGAAGGGCTTTGGTTTCCCTGAAAAATTCCCACCTCAGTAAGGTCAGTAAGGGAAAAAAACATGTATTTTTCCACCCTGACAGGAATGAAAGAAAAATCACTGTGTATGCTTAGAGGAACAGGTCTGGCTGAACTCAGTCATCCAGGTTGGACAGAGCTAAGACCACTGGGGTCTGAAACCAACACAGGGCCTCAGCCAGGTAGTCATACTGGCTTCTGCCTTGGCAACACATCTCCTAAAGTAGCATTGCTCTCCAC